AGGAGGGGATGGAAACGGGGGTCATGGCTGAGATGACAACAACATGGTACTGTATTTGAGGGGATGGCCACTTTGTTCCTTATTCATCACAGCTCAGCAGGGTGGCCTGGGAAAAAAAACATAGCATCCTGAAAGGCAAATAGGCATTATGTGGTGAGTGAATAGTTTGTTTCTGTTGATTGGAGTACTTTGAGTAAAATGTATCTGTGTATATATATATATATATATGTGTGTGTGTGTGTGTGTGCCCCTGGACCACAAAACCAGTCTTAAGTCGCTTGGGTATATTTTTAGCAATAGCCAAAAAAACATTGTATGGGTCAAAATTATCGATTTTTCTTTTATGCCAAAAATCATTAGGATATTAAGTAAAGATATTTTGTAAATTTCCTACCGTAAATATATCAAAACTTAATTTTTGATTAGTAATATGCATTGCTAAGAACTTCATTTGGACAACTTTAAAGGCGATTTTCTCAGTATTTAGATTTTTTTTGCACCCTCAGATTCCAGATTTTCAAATAGTTGTATCTCGGACAAATATTGTCCTATCCTAACAACATCAATGGAAAGCTTATTTATGCAGCTTTCAGATGATGTATAAATCTCAATTTCAAAAAATTGACCCTTATGACTAGTTTTGTGGTCCAGGGTCACACACAGACACACACACACACACATATACATATATATATATATATATATATATATATATATATTTATAATTCTATTTTTATTGAAAGCAAGGAGAGCTATTATTTAGTCAAGTAGCCTATGTTTTAATATCAAAAGTGAAATAATTTTTGTCTTATAACATGGAAGTAGCCAAGGGAAGTAAATGAACTCACTGTAACATACTACAGTATTTTGAGAGTCCCACCCCCTGTCCTCTAAGTCAAGACCCCCCACTGGAGCCAATAAATATCCCATCATTCATCAGGCCAGACAATTTGGCAGATTTATGGCATGTCCCACTGAGTAAATTGACTATGTGTCAAGTAATAGGCAAACCAAGTGAGAAATCTGCTGATAAATTATATAAATACAAATGTCATGATTAGGCCATAACATCCAATTTGGTAAAACATAATCACTCTATGTTGACACACGAAGTAGCCTAGGCCTGGTTTTACAATTTAAATGTGTCCTCAACCTCATAACGTGACTAATAATGGAATTTAGTTCCTTCCCTTTGATTTATGTACATGCATCGCGGTGACTTCCGCAGGTGTGATTATGTACACCAACACAGCGGTAACGCGGATTAACATGCCAAACACCTTCCAGCGGTGGCGTTTCCTACGGGCTTTGTCTACACTTTTGTCACCGGGGTAGCATATTGTCCGTACTGGCTGCATATCAAAGTGCGCCAGAGTCTAGGCAAGGGAGGCGCCTAGGACCAAGTGTAACAAAGTTAATCCCTTAAAGAGTATTCATTAAATAAACGCTCTATACTGTAGTACTAATTGAGACCTCTATTATTACTTTTCAATTATTATTTTTTCTCTCTGACTGCGCGTGTCTGGTATACAGCACTCAAATGAACGTAGCAACCATCATAATTGATAATCACTTATTTAATTAGGTTACTTATTTCGTCCCCGACATTCTGTGCAATAATTACAATTAGGAAGTTTGCTTTGCTTAATCACAGACAGTGCAAAGAAAATAATAGTATTTGTTTGTATTGTAACCTTGTTTTAAAACCATGCAAAGCCTCTGCCATCTTTCACCGTCGTTTTGATCTAGGAACGCAGGCAACGTGAGTACAATTTATGGTTGCTGAATTTTTTAATTTTTCGGAGGGAAGACGGGAGCAAAAAGAGAAGTCGACTTTAACTAAGTCAAGTTAATGTTAAGTAGAAAGAAAAAAAAACATCTGACACTCAAGTAGCCTAACTTTAAGCGTGTTCTTAATCTTGGTCTTTAAAATTGTTGGTCTTTTTCACAGAAACCCTGAATGACCAGAAATATTTTAAACACCATTAGAAGCAACAATGGGAAAAAAAGCATTTTCATTCATATCTAAACTAGCATATATTTAGCATTTTCATTCATATCTAATCTATGTTCATGTTTCTATCTTCATAATTTATGTTGCCTATTTTGCAATAGATTTAAACTGCATTTTCATATTTATACATTCCTGTTTATATGTTCAACATACAGGAATAGCCACTGTTCATAATTAGGTTATTGAATGATTTATTTGATTGACTTGTTGATAAACGAGACCACAAGCAATTTCAATTTCTCAGTTTTATTAAAATGCTTTAATATATAATTATATACAGAAATGGCAAATATTAATAAAAAGTGCAGGTGGAGGTGTTCTCGTGAGAA